GATTGTAACCGATCATCGATTACTTGGGTCCAACCGATGATCGATTACGAAATTACAACCGATTGACAACACTAGTATACAGTGTTTCCCCTGGCCAAAAAAGTCTGTGAGGTGGTAAATTTGTTTGCGTGTGTTTGCGCGTTTCGATGTCCTAGCATAGCGAGCACTGCAGGTGAAGATTTTTGAATTTGTGAAAAAATGGTGCAATTTGGCGCATTCTAAGGTATTTTGGTGCATTATAAGCACTGTTCTATGGAAGAACTGTGATTTTCGTCAGCAAGGCAGTGTTTTGGACAAATTTCTGTGTGGCGGCTGAGAAGTTGAGCGAGGCGGCCACCTTGCTCGTGTCGGGGAAACACTGCTGTATGTATATACATAAATAAATATCCATATATGCGTATACATAATATATACAGGGGTACAATTTTAAGGCAAACGCTCTTAGGGCAAGATGCTACAGTTGTCTGCTGAAAAGTTACTAGTCCCAAACTCAATCAGACAAGGGAGACAAGTTGCTATTGCTAACGCTGCTGCCGTCCTTTTAAAAAAAAAGAGAAATAAAAAATGCGTTCTCACCGTAGCCGTCAATGTCGATGTCGTTGTCGATGACGATATCGAGTAGACTGTCGCCGATATTTCCCCGCGCCGTGATCCGCTCACCGTCGGCCTTGATGAAGGTCGCGGAGACACTGCGGGAGACAGACTAGGATATTTTTCGATGCTGCGGGTCAGAAATCCGTTGACAGAAACAAAATTTGTTATTAATTAGTCAGTAATTAACATTAGTCTTAACATTAGTCTTAGCGTTAGTCTTAGCATTAGTCTTAACATTAGTCTTAACATTAGTCTTAGCATTAATAAATTTTGGACCAAGTAAAACCAAAATCCAGACAAGTAAAAAATTCAGATCAACCAGATCTGAAAATAAGCGTCGAGGCCTGTGTCACTTGTGTCCCCTATCTATGGAAGACCTCTATCCCAGTATCCCAGCCCTATTGTAGGATGCTGCGCATAGACCGGATGAGGGGTTATGGTTGGGTTGGGATAGGGTTAGCGTTAGAGATATCGTAGGGCTAGGAGGGACTGGGCATAACATACAATTAGCAATTTACAATAAACCAGAGCTGTAAGCTCCTTTGCTCACGGCAAGTTAGCACCTTATGGCTTTGGGTTATAAGTTGAAGATATGGCAAGGCAGGGTTAGAGAGACAGGGTATAACATTAGGATAACAGTTAAGAGACATGACAAGCCTAGGGGTTAGGGAGACAGGGTATAACATTAAGGTAACAGTTAGGCCAAACAATAAAATAGGTGTGTTTCCGGTCGACCGACCGTCCCTAGATTATTAGGGCCGACCCTAAACTTTTTTTTCATTTGAAATCTGACAGACAACACTTTAGATTTTTTACTACAAACACGTTCTGGACTTGCTTACTAACTTATCCCTACCTATACACCACTTTATAGCATCAGAGGGATATTAGAAACCAAAGAATAAAAAAAATAAAAAAAATAAAAAAAATCCCAACCTACCTACCCTACTTTTGTTTTCGATGCAACCGGAAACACACCTTTTTTTGGCCTTAGAGATATGACAGGGCTAGGCACAGGGCATAGCATCATGGAGAGGGGATAGGGTCATGGAGAGGTTATACTTTTACTAGGGGTTGGATTACGAAGAGTTTAGATTAGGTTTATGTTAGGGTCAGGATTAGGTATAGGATAGCTCTAGTACTATAGACCGCGTACAGTTGCTGCAGGGCTATAGAACATTCTATTACGAATGCTAGGGACCAACCCGCTGACTGGCGCTGCTGCAGCGCCACCAAAAATGGCCGTTTGAAGTTCGTAAATCGAATGTTCGTTCACAAGAAATACCGCAAGCAGACCATTTCAACGATAGTTAGAGGTTAAATTTTAGTAGCTGATATAACTTGAGACATATTCACTTCGGATAAGAGACATGAATTGCCTACCACAGACGTTTTATAGTCGCGAGTCGTCGCAAGTAAGTTGGTCCCTAGCATTCGTAATAGTGCGGCAACTGTACGCGGGCTATAGTACTAAAGCTAGGTATAGGATAGAGTTATGGTTATGCTAAGGGTTAGGTTTATGTGAGGGTCAGGGTTAGAGTCTGTGCATTCGTAGCAGGAACAAGGAGGCGACACAGGCAGATCCAGTCTGGACAATTCTCTTCTCTGGTTAATTTGTAAAATTGGAACTTTCTCTACTGCAATCCCGATCTGCAGTGTTGATCTGTGTGGGTCGCACGAAAGGTCGAGAGTAGAATAGATACAATAATATGTAGGCCGTAGCTACGCGACCGGGTCCGGACGAAGAGCCGCTAGGCTACGCGTCCGGACATCCATCTCACACAGCGAGCTGTCGACACGTACACGCATGATTGCGCAATGGGACGCTCTGCTGATTGCCGAATGTGTGTGTGTGTGCGTGA